TCAAAGCTTAAAGTGTTATGTAATTTCCCGCTTCTTTACTGGTTCTAGTCACACTGGTACCGGCGTTATGGTGCCAACGCCTCCAGAAGCACTTCGCAATCTTCAACGCCGTGCGGCGAAGCACCGCTCTGCTGTGAAATGGTACAAATCTGGAGAGACATCTGGAAAGGGTTACAATACTGATGACTGTTTATAGAACACCGGTAAAGTCACTCATAAAGAGTGTACAAGCAGTAGCTCACCTTGAACATAACTCGCCCCCTCGCTCTCCTACGTCGACTAGCATGTCTGCACAGTCAGACCAAGCACTTGTCCAAGCCTACTCACGACTGTAAGTGGCGCTCCTGCTTGCAAGTTAGTAACCTAATACTCACACCTTCGTCTCCTAGAGTCACGAGTAACTATATCGGCGTAGCTGCTGCATGCAAGTACATCCTTTATCTCCCCTTTCATTGCTCACACAATATTTGCCCCTCAGGCCTTGTCGCCTACGAATTTGGGATCACCTTCGGCAAGGAGATTGAAATTGTGTGGAAGAGACCTATCACGGCACGTGCCGTGCTCCTTGGCTCGGTACGATGGTATATGCTCCTCATGGCCGTCTTGAACATTGCGCCAGCAACTGCGAATGTAAGCTCTGAGTGTTTCTGATTATGTGTAATCTGTGACAATGATTACTACAGGAGTAAGTGCAGCTTTTGTAAGATCTGTGGGCAACAGGTTACTTACTGAAACCCGACATATAGCTGTACGCCGCTTCAGGCTCTGGGCTGGGCATTAATCCTCATTCAATTTCTCCAAGTCGCACGTACGCATCACGCAGTCTGTCAAAATCAAAATACATTCACTGAATTCCATGTGCCAGTCTTTTCCGCCTTGCGTGTCTTCGCAGTCTGGGATAAGAGCTATGTCTGGTCGCTGATCACGTTCGCGTTGAGCATGGTGCCATTTGCGACGAATATAGTGTGTGTAACTTATGATTGAACCTTGCATATGCTCTAGTTTACGCTTCCATGCAGTACAATGCGGTAATGATGGAGTATGAGTTTGATTTGGACCTGACCATTGGAGCAGCATGCATCGAGCAGCCTAAAATCTCTGCACAAGTAAATGGCATGTGGGTGCACATATCTTGTGATACACTTTCGGAATAATAATCTTGCAATATAGATGTATGTTCCACGGTCAGAGACTGCTAACATATCGCAAGAACTAATACTACTTGCTCACAGTCATGTATACCACACGCAGCTCCCTCATCCTCGCTGACGCTATCGTGCTCGTCCTAACGTGGATTAAGACATTCAGACACTGGAGGAATGCCCGCCGCCTCAAGATGAAGGCGTCGCTGACGACGTGTTTGCTGCGCGATGGTCAGTGGTCTTGTACACATCTTCAAAATTCCCGTTACTGAAGCCCAGCTACTCGTGCAGGAACTACCTATTTTATGTGAGTATGAGACAGCCGCATTAGAAGGAATTTCTCACAGGCAACAATGGACACAGAGCTCTACTGGCTCTCAATATAAGCCAGCTTCTCACGTACAACATCTTCGATCCGGTGCGTCCGCGACGTGAGTACCTGAGCAGGTAGCTGACGTCGAGCTTAAGGACTCGAGAACAATATTAAGCGGGCTGATAACAAACCTGGTGCGTGCTCTACGTTCCGTTCGCACTGTTTGTACTCACGGACTCGGACTACCCACGCAGCCCCCGATCCTCATCAACCGCTTCATCATCAACCTCCGGACGGCCGGCTCGACAGCGTCGGACTACTCTATGCACATGAGCGACCAGCGGCAACGACAGTCGTCACTGCAGTTCACAAGGCCAACAGGTCGGTTGGGAAATATGGGGGCAACGCTGCAGGATGGCTGGGGCGACGAACCCTTTGATGACGAGAATGATGTGGCAGAAGTGAGAGAGGAGGGTCGTCATGAGGCCAGCGCCGAGGCGTGATCCGGCATTGAAGACTGTACCAGATTCCGCAGTATACTCTGTTTCTAGGCGGATATTGACGTTTGTAACTTGTGCGAACAAGATACTAGAAGCTTATTGTATTTAATGACCCCAATTCAGTGATATGCCGTCAGGAACGGTGGTACGTGAATACATGCATTTCGGGGAAGTAACACAACGCTACGCAATAGCAATCCCAAAAGGCAGCCTCTGACAAACTCTGAATCCACTGGGATATTTTCACGCAAAATCCACACCATGAGTTCGGGCGCATCTTGTCGGTACTGTCAACATAATCAGCTGTAGGACGTCTAGCGCTCTGAGATATCGCTCACAGAATCGTTTAGCATTCTCGATTATGATAAGCGACGTATTCCGCGCACGCCGTCCGGGCCTGGCCATACTCGCAGGACCCCGAGGGCATATGGGTGCTCGGTACGCTGGGATGGTCCACATTGAATCTCAGTGAACACACGGGAAGATAGACAGAGGTATGTTGCACTGAAGCACGTGGCTTTGATGGCACCAAACGTGGATATATAAAAAGCAACATTCGAAATTGTCAAAAGTAGAACCAAAAGGAATTCAGAGATAGTACTCCCAGTCGATTAGAATTGCCATCGCGAAGTCAGAAATTCTGAAACTGTTTTGTCTACAGAAGGTACTGAGCTCCCGATTCTCGCTGCACCGGCACCCGCCCAGGTGTTACGCCAACGCCTCAGGCGGGCACGGATCGTGCATAGAGAATGTGAAGCACTGTATCAGGTAGATAAGCGTGACTTGGGCTTCCTGCCACGCGAATGACAGGCACTGTGCGGCGTGTCAGCGAAGCGCATAGAAGTGTATGGCAGGTGGTGTGTACGATGCAGGCACAGATGCTGAATCCGAATGCCACGCGTTGGGCTGGCGTGATAACGTACGAGCGTGCGGCTGGGGCAGTCTACAACAGGAGCGCGCGTACCGGGAGCGCCTCTGCCGTC